CCTCCTTTTGGCAGTACTAGGGATTGAAACTATAGCCTCGTGGATGTAAGGCAAGCATTCTACCACTTGAGCTATGCCCCCAACCCTTTGTTTTGTTTGTTTTTGTTGTTGTTTGTTTTTGAGATAGGGTCTCACTAACTTTGCCCAGACTAACCTCAAACTCATGATCCCCCTGCCTCCACCTCCCAAGAAGCTGGAGTTATAGGCATTTGCCACCACAGGCGGCTTACAATGATCTTTGTTGGGCTTTGTTAAAGGACTTCATCCTTGTCCAACTAATTCTTTGCTATAATGTTGGAAGGCTCTGGATGGTGACAGATAGTGAGTGGCCAGTCAGTACTAAAGGACATCTTTTTTAGAATACTTTGGGAATTAGGCAATGTAGTCTGCAGTGGGCAACTATTGTTTCTACCTGCCAAGTATCAATTTTTTGTAAAAGCATTCAGATTTTCAGATTTTTGAGTCACCTCATTCTTTTCTTAGTTCACACAGTTTGGGTGAGGCTGATGTCATTGCCACTCCAAGGATGAGAAAAGAACCTAGATGTGGGGCATAGCTCAAGTGGTAGAGTGCCTGCCTAGCAAGCCTGAGGCCCTGAGTTCCAACCCCAGTACCACAAAAACAAAAAACAAACAAAAACCTTTCAAGTATTAAAGTATTGTGCAATTGTGTACAGAGGATCTCTTTGTCCACTAGGGCTGCCGAGAAAATGGGCTATCAAAAGACAATGCTGCTGGGCAAGGGAGACAACACTAAAGAAAGCAGAGCTCCTCAGAACAAAAAAACAGCTTTCCTGATCACTTGATTTATTGTGCACCTGATTTTTGGTCTAAAAGGAATTGCTGCCACAATATATTTTATTTATTCTTTAGATTTTAGCTTTGTAAGTTAAAGTGCTTTATATGATGGTGTTGAAAGCTATTTGTCCCTTTACTGGGTTTGGGGGGCTTGTTAAAGATAGGGAATGAAGAATGCAAACGGTTTATTGTTCATGTTCCACTCTGATCCAACCCTGTACTGATAAGTTCCTTTCTAGTATGATATTGTGATGTTTCATACAATGCAGTGAACATAACCAACTTGTTACCTGAATGAAGAATTGATTTAAAAAAAAAAGAAAGAAAGCAGAGCTGACAGATGGCAGACTTGAATTCTGATGACATTGTTTAAAATCTTGGATAATAACCAGCTAGACATGAAGCAAAATGTACTACCTTAACTTCTTAGTTAAAAGTCCATAAATTCTTTTGAGTTGATTTGATTTTTCATTTGCAACTGAATTCTACCCAAATTCAAAGTCTTAGGACTCTCACAAGTTAAATGGACTTACATATCCCTGTCATAAAATTGCTGGGCTCATGAAATCTAACCTTTTACTCTATCACCCGGCAACAAAACAACTCATAGTTTATTAAAGCCAAGTACCTGGCATGTAAGGGCTTGTGCCAAATGAGATTGATCTTTGTTGTCTTTTGCGGTAAATTTTGCTCATATCCTAATGAAGAAGCAGAGGCTCATAAGGCTGAGTAACTTGCTCAAAAGTGGGCGTTAAATGAAAGACCAAACCCTAAGACCTTAGGCGTGGCTGACTTTTTCTATTTCATGATAGTCCATTCAGCAGCAATCAACATGAAAATAGAAAGACATACAAGATCTCAGATGGCAATTGAAATTATGCTTCTTTTCTTTCCTGGTGGGAAAGGATGCAGTTCCTTACAGCTCAATTTGGTTTGGTATACCATGTAGCTCTGGATCTGACAATCCTGAGGTCAGCCAGACTGGATCAGTGCTGGCACTCCATGTCAGAACATGGTGAACTTCACTGAGATGCCCACAGGCCTTTTTTTTTTTTTTTAAACTCTGTCACATTTGTCATGGGGCAGTATGACCTCAAGTCACGTGTAGGTGTCATAGCTTGTATCCTGTCTTCTAGTTGAGCACATCCAAGTACTAGATGTAAAGATAAGCCCTGTGACTCACACTGACATTAGGTAGAAGGTTGCTTTAAATCTTCACCAAGGACTGAACAACCAAAAGAATTCTAATAACAGTTATTGTGCTGCTAATAAACCTTCTTAACACCAGCAAAAAGAGAGATAGATGTTTTCCAGTTTCAGATGAAAAAGCTAAGAGTCAGAAGGATGGAGAGCTGGCCCAGTACTACTGACACAGATAAGATTCAACCACAGGTTTACTTCCTAAGCCTGTGTGATTTCCACAATGCTCTGCTGAAATTCAGGAAACCTAAGCTGTCTTCATAAATTAATGATTTTTTTACAGTAAGGCTTTAAAATCACAGCCACACTCAGCTTTAAACTATGCACCCAGGCCATACCACAATAGGTTAACAGGGAAAATTAAGCAACAGCTGTGAGTATGGTGGGGGGGGCACCAAGGGTCTGTGAGACCAGCAAACAAGGGGTATGTGTGGGAGGGGGTGTCAAGGGCTCCCTCAGGGACTAATGAGGCTTTAAGATTGAGGCTGTGGCTTAGGAAAGGACTTAGATCAATTAACTTTCCAGGCTTTTTATGACACTGTTATCAAACCACACATACTAAAATTCGGCCACAGCCCAAATTTCTGAAAAGCTTTTTCTAGTTTTACCTTTTAAATTGCTTGTTGGTGGTAGTAAATGTAGTAACATGATTCTTCACAATCACTTGGTATGCTTAGGAACCCTTGTGAAAACTCTTCCCTACATGGTTTCCAATATTTTAACAATGGAGCTAAAAGCATTTACTTCATTCTGTGGATATTTAATCACATTTGCTCTTTTCATTTCAGTTTGCAACCACATTTTTATCCAGGCTTCTTGCAAACGTTTTTGTAGGTCCTTCAAAGCTTATAAGATCTTAGCACAATGCCTTTAATTGCTTGGAGAGTAAAATAGCACAGTGGTCAACAGACCTTAGGGCGCAGAGAGAAGCATGTGGGAGGGTCTAAGAATCAATTATACTCAACACTTAAAACAGCCAGCTGAAGTTGGATCCCTTCACATAGCAAGCCAGGCACTTTCAAAATATGTAGCCTCTACTCACATTCTTCCTTAAAGACTAGAAAAAGCTTCAAGATGTCCCATAACTCCCAGATGGAGCAGCAGAAAGAAGCAGTTGCCCTAACCATTCTCCTTTGAAGTATCATATGCTCCCAAGATAAAAGACTAGTTGCCTGACACTAAGTCCAGCAGCAACCTGCCACTCTATTACAACCGTGGTAATAGGGTACTTAGAGGACACATGGTATCACCATATGTCATTGCTGGGGTGGGAATCTTTATTACTTTGCCTCTGATCTCTATAAATTCACCTGCCTTGATGTTTGAATGTATCATTTCCCAAATCACAGCAGAAGGAAATTATCAACTTAACCCACATATTTCTGGATGCCAGATTCTTTACAGAGTTGGGAATGGGGAGGAAATACAGAGGAATTAAGTATGTCCTGAACTTTCAGAGAAACTCAAATGTCAGAAACACCTACATTGTTTAAAAACAGGTACTGATCCAAGGCCTATGATAAAGTTTGGGGTCAGATATCTGACAGGCATGAGACAAATATGACAGGGAATTAGAGCAGTCCTACACTCAGGCAACCTGACAGCTTCTATTTGCTTGAATAAATGAACCATTTAGTTTGGCTTCCGTTAGATGTCAAACACTGATAAATTTTTTCCACACAAGTATGTTCTTAGATGTGGCCAACAAAAGTACAAAAAGGCCTGGCGGCCTACCGGCATTCCCATTAACTATTAGTCACTTCTAAAAAACAGATCAGGATCGTCGAAACATGGAAGGTCTGACTAAGCCTGAGTTACTTCCCATCACTCTTACATCAGTGAGGGACAATGGAGGAGTTTGTGCATATAGCCTGTGGAGCTGCATTCCTATGCATCATGGCCTGGCTGAAACCACCTACATGGATACCTACAGGGGCCCAACACAGTAGCAACAAAAAGGTCATGGAACCCGACATACTTCTTCCCACACCCTTAACTGAAGCCCTAGTAAATCCATTTCTTTAGTCCACCCTGCTTCTCGCTCCCCCAGGTGAATCCCACCCCTATCTCAGCCACTGCCAGAACTTCAGAACTTGTTTCATTGGTGCTTCAGTTTCTCCATCTCCCTCCAATTTTATCAATTGTTTCAAGCCTCTTGGACTTCATCCCGCCTATTTCCTTTCTATCATTAGCACACTCAACTCTTTTTACTTGGTGACCATAAAACTAACTGCCAGCGCTGCTGTCGTCTAAAAGCTTCCCAACATAAAGACCAAGAGGGAAATGGCTACCTCATGTTGTAGGAGTGGTGGTGAGAAAGGGCTGGCACCATGTTGCAACCTAAGTTTTGGCTTTTAAAGTTGAATCTGTGATTAGACATCCTTTACCACTTTTTATAAAAAAATAGTTTTAAAAATAAAAAACAAAATCCACAAGGTTAGTTGCCCTTTTAGGGCAATTTGGATTTCAGCTAGTCCTTCTGTTACTCTTTCCTAACCAGAACTCCATGTTGCAATGACTTTGCTTCCTCCCAGCCCTTACCAAGGATTTTGGCAAGTATGGTAAAATAATCATGATACAGGGAGACTGGCTCCCTCTGTTGAAAGACGTAAGAGGGGAATGGTATATGACAGGAAGGTGAACACAATGATTCTGCCACAATACCCAACAATGACACAGGTGTATTTGCCAAAAAAAAATGTACTAGTGCCATGGAACAACTGCTGCTTTAGTGCAAAAGTGATGTTTCTCTATCAGCAGAGGGGAGTAGAGAAGCCAAGACAGAAAACCACCCCCAAATGCTGGACTCTCTCTCACTAAACTGTCCTTGGCAAGTAGCTGGACCAATGAAGAGCAAAGCTGGAAACAAAGCAGAGACTACAGGAGTTGACTTGTTTCCAAGATGTACCAGTAACCAGCAAAGGTTCTCTTCTGCACAAGGTATGATCTTCTCTTGAGAATTTGAGAAGTAGTGAGAAGCAGGCATAGTGATATACACTACAGTCCCAGCATTGAGGAGGCTGAGGCTGGAGATCGTGAGTTCAAAACCACCCTATGTCAAAAGGAAAAAAATTGCGTTTGTCCTCCTTTCACCCCTACTGCCAGGTTTCAACTCTAAAAGCACTAGGGCAGATGGAGAACTGGAACCTTATCAGACACTACTGGGTTTACACAGGCAGAAGTGCACATTCTCTCTACTGCTTGTAAAAATCTGCCTGGCCTCTGCCTAACACCTGATATTGATCAAGGGTACTATTTCTGGAGCTTGTGCCAAAGGACAGGAGGCCCTTGTTGAGTAGTATTTGACAGGTCGAAAGCAATGTGACTGCTTAGCTGTGTACCTAAGTTCCATTTGGGCAGATCTGATTTAAAACAGCAGTGGCACTAAACATAATTGCAGTCTGTGTCATAGGTAGAATTCTAAGATAACCATCACCTATTTCCAGTCTTTGGTCAATAAAGCACTGATCTAGATAATGCTGTGACTGGTATCTAGATAATCAGGGAGATTATCCAAGTGGGACTATTGTGCAATGAGCTATTTAAAAGCAATGATTTCTACAGTTGGCATCAGAAGAGGGAGTCAGATTTAAAGCACAAGAAAGATCCGATGCACCACTGCTGGCTTAAAATGGAGGGGCGGAGTGAACAAAAATGTGGACAACTTTTGTAAGATGAGGGATGTCTGCAACTGATAGCCAGCAAAGAAATGGGAACTTCCACCCCATATCCTGAATTCCACCAACAACCTGAATGAGCTGGAAGTACATTCTTTCCCAGAGCCTTCAAATGAGAGCCCATCCCAGCCTTATGAGACACATGCAGAGAATCCAACCACACCTGCCTCATGTTTATCCTATAGAACTGTCACATGGCAAGTGGATATTAAGCTGCCAAGACTGTGATCATTTGTTATGCACCAACGGAACATCGATACAATATAGAAAGCTCACAGTAGAGAGCCTCAGTTGTGAATGTTACACAGCCTCTCTTACTCCCACAGTCACCAGAGCACAGCCTTTCTCTGACCCCTTTCACTGAAAAAGACAAGGGTACCAAGAACAATTGGTGAGGCAAGGATCATTCCTTACTTCAAAAGCCCACCCCAGGTGGAGAAAATCATTAGATCTTTCCCTTCTTCCAACCACAACCATGTATATGGCCAAATGTAGGATCTACTAGTGGGTCAGAGCAATCCTCCATTGTCCTGAGCATTCTTGCACATTCTTGTTAGGGAGGCCTTTACCCAAGTCCTTTCTCAGAACTGTTTGTCACAAGCTATCTTAAAGGATGAAGTAATGTGTCCAAGTGGAACAATGAACAGGTTTGCTACAAAAGAGAAAGAGTTCTCAAGAACAAGTGTCCCTCGGCTGTGACGCAAACCCACTGCATGCATGGCATCTACCTGGTCCCCCCTCTGTGCACTGGAGGGTTTGGAAAACAGGAGAAACCAGTACAAACACAAAACTCATGCTGCTTACTAAGTAGTAATAAACAGGTTCATGTCATCTGCTAGCCTATGTACTTACAAAAAGGCAGTATCCCAGACCCTGACTGTTACACTTAGACTTTAAAACAGGAGACCTAATGTTTTCACATTATAAATATTAAAGGAACAAAATACCTTGTTTTTGTGTGGAGATTATAATTTACAATCATAGGGCTACTGAACAAATAAAATAAGAAAATCTGTGGCACACCTAGGATACAGAAAATATCTACACACATCACCTAACTGCTTTCCCCAGCCCAGCCACCCATTCCCTCATACATACAACGAATCAGCAGAGAAGAGAATGTGTCCATAATAGTAACCCATTCAGAAAACGAGACAAAACAGTCTAATATAGCAACTGTGACATTTGCATAGCGTTACATGATGCACTAAGAGCTTCCACATTTGGTTCCTACAACAGAAACCAAGCTCAAAGGGGTAAGTCCTTGAAGAAAGAACAGTCACAGACTCCACGGGACAGAAGTCCAGGGGTGCAAGCTGAGGAAGAAGAGAAATGCTGCTGTGATTCTGGACTAGCATCGGAACCATGTCCTGAGGGTACTCTTCCTCCAGGTCGGCTCTACGGGACCAAGCCTGAGGAATGTCAATGTCAATGTCAATGTCACTGTCACCGGAGGAATGGCTGGAAACCACATGGTGAGAAGGCGTCTTTTATTTCTATATTGATATTGTTGATGGAAAATTAAGAACGTTCTTAAAATATAAGTGGGTATCCTGTCCTGGATATAAATATATCTCTTTGGTGTCCTTGGCAGCTTCTGCTTTGTCTGCAGGTAATGGGGCCTTATCTTGTCACAGTGTCACTTGAGGGTCTTGCTAAGGTTAGAGAAGCCAATGCCAACACAGGTCATCAGCACTTTATCCCCACCTTTGAGTTCTTCATCACATGGCTTGGTCTCAATTTTAAACATAATCTGGAAAAAGCTCTTCAAATGCCGCAAAAACTCTATCCTAAAAAAAAAATAAATAAAATAAGATAAAATAAAATATAAAAGGATTCATTTCAAAGGAAATTCTCCTCTCCCTCCCTGACCTAGAACCAAAGCTTTAAATTTCCAAGACTAAGAGGAAAGACTGGAATAAAGAACATCTAATCACCTTGAACTATTAATATACATTTGAAAAAAAAAAAAACAAAAAAAAGGACAGGAGGGTAAAACACATCCTTTCCAGGGGTGGGTAGCTATGGAAGCGGGGAAGGCATAAGGAAAGGGTGAATATGGTGGATGTATTTCGTATGAATATAGAAAAATAGGATAAAGAGGGCTGGTTTAGTGGCTCAAGTGGTTAGCAAGCATGAAGCACTAAGTTAAAGTTCCAGTACCATCAAAAAAAAATTATTAAAAAATAAAATAATAAAATCTATTGAAATTGTTCTAAGAAAGGGGAAGGCAAGAGGAGGAAGAACAATGGAGGGGATAAATCTAAGATATACTATAAGCAATATGTAAATATCACAGTGTACCAACCTGCACAACTGTTATATGCTAATAATAACATTTTTTAAAGGTTGTATTAAGAAATTCATCTCTGCTGGGCAATGGTGGTTCACGCCTATAATTCTAGCTACCTGGGAGGCTGAGATGGGGAGGATCATGATTTGAGGCAGCCCAGGCAAATAGTTCATGAGACCCCCATCTTCAAAATAAACACAGCAAAATGGACTGGAGGTATGGCTCAAGCAGTACAGCGCCTGTGTTCAAGTGTAAAGCCCCAAATTCAAACTCCAGTCCCACCAAAAAAAAAAAAAAAAAAAAGTAAATCCATCCAAAGGTGGAGCCTTTGGAAAATGATTTAGATGAAGTCATCAGGATGGAGTGGGTCCTCATGATTGAATACTTGTGACTTTAAAGAGGGACAGCAACAAGAGGACACACACATGCACTCCCTGTCTCTTGCTATGTGACATTTGTGTGAGGCCCTGAGTTCAAACCCCAGTACCACAAAACAAAACAAAAAACCCAAAACTGATTAAATAGGACTTATTTATACCCAACCAGTTTCTAAAGAGGAGTTAGACAGTTTGCAATGGCATACATAATATAAGAAAGTTCAATTGAAGAAAAGGTTAGAGGTTAGTCCATGACACATAAGCCATTCAATCCTACATACGTGTTAAGAGAATTGACGTAAATGTGATAATTTTGAGTGACCCGTGCAAAAATGGAAACATTTCCTTCCATGATTCATAGCATCACAAGGTTAAAAGGAAAAAAAAAAAAAAACATGCAGAATGACTATTTCTGATGTTGAAATAGATAAGTCTCCTTCATTTCTCAACAATTCCCTTCCATGTACTCAAAAAATCTTTATTGAAAGTCATTAAATATGTACCACTATTGTTGGTGGTGGGATGTTGCAGCCAACTGAAGAAAAGATGAAAATAAAAATCCTTCCCTCATGAAGATTTCAATCCAACAGTGTAGACAAGATGAATCAGTACGCTATTCTTGACAAATACTATGAAAATTTATATAAAGTTGCGTAGGAGGGGAAGGACTGTGGGCATAACAGTAATTGTGCGTATTTAGCACAAGGCAATATAAATAAGTTGGCCAGGGAAGAGCTCGAAGTAAAACAAAAAGGTTATTGGGGCTGTCTCTTGTAATTTCCTTAACACAGAAGGGTGGGCCTTGGGAACAGTTATTCTATGGATGGACCATAGTGCAGGAATATAAGCTTCTAACATGTTGCCCTAACAAACTCAGCACCACCCAGCCAGACTGACCGTAGGACTCACCTGGAGAGTTCATTAAACACACAGGTTCCCGAAGGTTCCTATAAACTCAGAACCAGTAGGGAGAAAGTAATTGCGGAGAAGAGCCAGAATCACAAGGCATACAAAGATGTCCTCCCCATCACTCTACCAGGTCAGAGTTAGCAAGCACCCCCGGCAGTTCTTATCAGCAAGTGTGGGAAACACCGATGTAGTAAAGAACAGCAGACCTGGGCTGGTGGAGTGGCTCAAGTGGTAGAGGCCCGCCTAGAAAGCATGAGGCCCTGAATTCAATCCCCAGTAGTGCAAGGCAAAAAAAAAGAATGAAGTTTTACACATTTCTCACATTACACACAGAAATTAGCTCGCATAGGTCAAAGACCTAACTGCAGAAGTTAAAAATACAAAAGTTATAGAAGTAAACAGGAGTAAATTTTCATTATATTGGGCAAGGCAACAGTTTCTTAACTATATTATTTCTTAATGTCTTAATTTCTTAAATATAACATCAAAAGTAGAATAAGAGAAATAAATATAAAGAACTTTAACAACTCCATAATTTTAAAAACAATTAATATGGACAAGAGATCTAAATAGGCATTTCCTCAAAGACATATGAATAACCAACAAGCATAAAAAGATGCTGGACATCTTTTGTCATCAGGGGAATGAAAATCAAACCCACTATGGATACCGCTTCATACTGAAGAGGATGGGTACACTAAAAAAGCCAGGCAGTAAACAAAACTGTGAATGAGGAATTCTAAATTAGAACCCTCCAACGTTGCTGGTAGCAAGGTAAAATGATTTTGCTGCTGTAGAGAACAATCTGGTAATTGTTTGAAATGTTAACCAAGGAGTTACTACATGACAAAATAATCCCATTCTGATAAATACTCAAGAGCAATGAAAACATACGCCCATGCAAAAATTAATGTTCGTAACAGCATTGTTCATAAGAGTCAAAAATTTAAAACAACCCAAATGCCCACCAATTGATGAATGCATAAATAAAATGTGTAATATCTGTCCAATGGGACATTACGCGGCAAAATGAAGTACTGATACACACTATGACATGGATAAACTTTGAAAACAGTATGTTAAGTGAAGAAGCTAGTCATACAGGACCACATACTACATGATTCTATTTATAGGAAATGGCCACAATAAGCAAATCTATCACCAAGGGAGACAGCAGACTAATGTTGCCTGAGGCTGGGGAGAGTACGAGGAACTGGGAGCAACCACAAATGGGCAGAGGGTTTCTTTCCGGGATGATAAAGATGTTCTAAAGTTAGATTGTGGTTGTGGTTACATAACTCTGTGAATATGCTAAAAGCCATGAAATTGTACAGTTTAAACGGGAAAACTATGGTATATAAATTAATTTCAATAAAGCTGCTTAAAATGAACAAATATTTATTAATGAAGGTAAAACAATTACCACTCCTGTTTCCCACTCCCTATACTCAGTATATACATCAAACTAAGTAAAAAGCCTCACTGCAATGACTGCGCTCCCCACTCCTGTGCTCCTCGTCCAAAGACTGGAATGTTGAACCAATAATGCATGGAATTCCAGCTATGGGCAGAGGTGAAAGAGTAAGATTACAGTTTTGAGGCCAACCCTGGCAAAAGTTATTGAGACCCAATCTCAAGAACAAGCAGGGTATTCTGCTTGCAATCCCAGCTACTCCAGAGGTAAAAAGACAGAGGATCACATTCTGAGGCCAGCCTGAGCAAAGTTAGCATGAGATCTTTCTAAACAAACAACTAAAAGCAAAAGGACTGGGGGCTCAAGTTCTAGAGTGCTTGCCTAGCTAGCACAAAGCCCTGAGTTCAATCCCTAGCACTGAAAAAACAAAATAAAACAAAACACAAAACAAGACCCACAGAGCTTGGGTGAGGGTACATGCTCAAAGAAAGATATCCCACTTCTTAGGTTTTTCTTCCATCTAGAAATGTACTTCATCTTCACCTTTAAAATAGCATCCCCTAAAGAAAATGTGGTATATCCAAACCACATGCCAAATGTGACATATCTATAGATACAACGGAGTATTATTTGGCCCTTAAGAATGAAATCATGTCATTTCCAGGAATATGGATGAAACTAGACCTCATCATGTTAAGTGAAATAAGTCAGAAAGACAAATATTACATGTTCTCTCTCATATGTGGAGTCTAGTCCTTAAAATGGTGGACAGGAAGATAAGCGGGTTTTGTTTAGGGTGAGTACAGTGTGAGCGGGAGGGCAAAAGGAGAGGATGCAGGGGAGTGTGAATATGGTCAAAGTACCTGTATAAAAATAGAATAATAAAACTTTTAAAATTTGTTCTAAGAAGGGAGGAATGACTGGGAGTGATAGAAGGAGTAAGTTTAATTGGGGTACATCATATTCATGTATGGAAGTATCACAAAAATTCTTTTGTACAACTAATATATGCTAACAAAGTGTTTTTAAAAAGAAATAATTAAGAATAAAAAATAGCATCCCATTTGTAAGCTAAGCCCTCCTAGCCAGAAACTCACCCCACGTGGTATTTCCCTCCCACAGCATCCTTTACTTACAGTGCCTAATTAAATGGTTTAGTAGAGCTGTCTCCGTAACAGTCCCCTCCCCTGGTAAACTACAGAAGCATCTCAATAATAATGACCTTCTCTATAAATGAAACCCACAATAATAGTGAAACACATCTAAGGTCCTCCACAGAGGCACCGAATAGAATTTAGGAGTCAGAGGTAATCTTGAGAAATGACTTCAAACAATCTCAGCAATTAAGATCTCCCCCTGGTGGCTTTTCTGTCTTATTCATCAAGTGAAATTTTCTTTTTTCCTCCCTCTCCAACCATCCTACTACCTTGTCCTAGGGGGAAAAAAGAAAACACATCAAACCCATAGATAAACAGGCCACATCTGTAGGCCAAGCTTCCAGCTGGCAGCAACACAGAAAATGCCAGCCGTCTCAACCACTCATCTGTATTCTAAGGATAAAACAGCTTGTTCTCTCTTTTGCTGCTGCTGCTGCCACAGACTAACAGGCCAGGGGCATGCTCTCCTCCCAGGCCTCATCCAGCCTATTCACTCTGAATCATTTGACTGTACTCAGAAAACCAGACACCCTCCCCAGCTGGCAGAATTCCTAGGAACCTTAGCTTCCTTGATCTCTTGAAGAAGGTTGGGAGAAACACAGGCTTGTGTGTGCAGGCCTACATATTTGCAGCTTTGGGGTATTTGTAGCCTTTGGAACAGTAAGAAAAAGCAAAGTTGGTTTGACTTTTTACATAATGTTCTGCCAACCCCTCGGTCTGTCTGAGGAAGGCTAGAGAAGAGACTGGATTAAAGTACATTTCAGAATGTCTTTTCCCCCATCTCCAACCCCACTCTCCCTGTGTGTCTTATAGCTGGTATATTAAAAAGTAAAAATGCTTAGAAGCTCAGAAATGACCAGGGATGATATCAAATGCCACAAACAGCCTCCATAAGAAAATGAAAATCAACAGGAGAACAAACTGGCCTATATCTGCAGGCAGATGAACAGTGTCTTGTCCAGTGCCATCCACAGACTTCTTGCAGCCCACTGAGGTGCCACATCCCAGGTTCACTACACTTCACAAGGACTGTAGATTCACACTTCCTAGACACAACCAGATGGTCAGGAAAAGAGGCCACAGCCAGCTATGGGCAACTCTGTCTTCAATAGACAACCATATGCACAGTGTCACTGGTAGCTTTTCAGATAAACCATTTTGAGCAACTGGAGTTCTACACAAATTCTGTATGAAGAATCCTGTATGAACTGTACCTCTGATGAGCCTTTATTTATTTTTTCAGGACAAAGTGATTGATTTTCAAAAATCAACAAACAAGCTGGAGGAATGGCTCAAGTGGTGGAGTGCTTGCCTAGCAAGCATGAGACCCTGGGTTCAAACCCCAGTACTGCCCCAAACAAAAACAAACAACAGACTTTTCTACAAAAGCCTCCAGCCCACCTGACAAGAAGCTTTCAAAGAATTCTGGAGCACAGAGAAAACTTTCGCTGTATATTTTCAAAAGGTGGGTTGCTCCCACTGCCACTATTGGCCAACAAGTAAAGGCCACCTGCCCATGAAATCCTGAATACCCAGGACTTGCAAGGCTCTGTTCCTTAGACAAAGCCCCTCTCACCAGGCCCCCTTCTGAAGCAATGAGGTGAGGGGGGCAATTATGGGGTCAGTCTCTCTGGCAGCTCCCATGGATACAAATCACCAAGCTACCTGGTTTCCATCCCATTTGAATGGATATGGGAAAAGTTGGGGTTACCTATATTCAAGTATAAGGAGTTGAAGGGTAAGACCTGGGGGCAGAAAGAAGAATCTGCTTGATGTGTTCCCCTCTAGTCATTACACAACAGCTTTAAAATATATTGATAGGTTTTCTCTGCTAATAGCAGCTTTTAAGAAGCCCATCTACCCTCTATTCTAAGAATGAAGTTATGAAACTCTGTTACAGAGACAGAAGGAAACAGAATTAGGCTGGCCGTCCTGTTGGGACACAGGGGTTCCAAATCAAGTTTGACCAGGAATTTACCATAAGCAGGTAATTGGCTTCTCTTTTTTCATCTTAACAGAGTACCGCTTGTTTTTAGAACATGCCAAATACATTCTGGAGTTCAAACATAACAAATGTGTTAGAGCCCTGCAACATTTACAGCACTTCACCAGTGTAAGACAGGGGATGCTGTACAAGCTCACAAAGAGCAGAAAAGCTGCTGGGACAGGGCAAGGGGGTGTCAAGCAGGAATTGAGCTCCTTGGGTATAGTGCCAAGAGCAGTGAGCACCTCAGCCCACTTAAGCTTCACTCCATCTCCACAGCCCACAAGCTCAGGACCACTCTATCTACAGAGGAGACCATGGTTCAGAGATGCTCAATGCCTCATCAACAGTTCACTGGCGACTCCACAATAGAGGTGAAACAGGCTACACTCCAAGGCCTGTGCACTGGAAGAATGCAGAACTCTGGCAGCCACAATCTCCTGTCACAGTTTCTGAAAGTGCTAATTAAAACACTTATTGATACATGTTTTTCTTCCTGTTAACCCACCTTTCAAATCAAGTATCAATTCATCCTAAATTTATGAGCACCAGGTATAACTGTCCAAAAACTTCTCAAGTTTGTCAGAAATAGATTCTCCATATACCAGTGTGCTATCGAACACTATTTTATTGTCTGGCCTTCCTTGAGAATTTCATACTTTTTTGAGCAGTACAGAAAACCACCAACAGCAACTCCTGAAGCAAGACAGTAAGAAAAGGAAACAGGGGAGCAACACAGAAACCCTTACTTTCCAGAACGGGAAAAGGGCTTGAAAGCAATACAGAAAGAAAAACAAAACAAAATAAAAAAATCCTTCTTGATCCTGGTGCTCTGTAAAAGACATTTAAAAGGCTATTTATGCAAATCAAAACATGTACAAACTGCCAGAAGAAATACATTTTTTTAAAACCAAGGGAGGTCTTGCTTCTTGGTTTAGAAATGTGAGGTTCCATAAAACAGATTTCTATGATTTTAACTGCACATAAAAATAAATGTGACTCCAAGTATAATAAACTCTTCTCCCACCATGATGGTCCTGACAATGGATTCTGTCCCATTTTACCCTTAACTGCACTCAGTCCCACTGAGTGACTTAAGACTGCTGGATCCTTCTCACAATGGATTAAGAACAAAAAGGGTCCCAAATACAGCTTTCTTGAAATAAGCTCCCTTTCCCTGCTAGTGCTAGCTTACCAAAAAGAAGGGAGGCTGTCCTTTCCCCGACCTGTGACAGGCCTGCTGCATGAAACAGAGGCAGGTCATCTAGAGGAAGGAGAATGTGTCCAGGTCCCAGCCCCAAGTCTCAAAACATGTAATCTCAGAATCTGTCCTTAAAGCTCCATTCAGAGCAGACCATTATCTTCCCAGGAGATGCAGTAACTAGATTTTGGAAGAAAAGACACTGCAATTAATGTCTGCTGAGGTGGATACACGAAACTTTCAAATTGTCCAGTCACATGTTGACCATCTCCAACGAGACAGCAGACTTAAAAAATAAAAAAAAGGTTACACAAGTACAAGGCCCTGGAGACAAACTGAAAAACTTTCCAAAAGCAAAAAGTGTCAAGGAAAAAAAAAAAAAAAACAAACAAACAAGCCTATATTCCATTTTCACACAATGTTCTGCCAAAACCCATACCCTGGGACCACACACATTTCAAGACAGCAATTCTTGCTATGTGAATGGTGAGGCCTTCTGCTGCCCCAAAGCAGAGCCTGGAAAAGCAGCAGCAATGACCCTGGGTAAGGAGCTGACAGGGCCAGGGTGGTCACACACCAGCCTCTTCCAGCAATTCCTGATAAATCTCTGCACTTTGGGCACTGAACTCATAGTCTCCTCTCCAAACACTTCACTTCCACGTCTGTTTTAGCAATGTTGACTACTGATGTTAGCATGCCATTTACGATGATGCAATTTTAGGTTTCCTGTCCTGTGAAATACTTACACAAGTTATCAGGAGATACTGTGCTGTTCACCAGTTCCCTGCTTATCAGTCTTCCCCACTACTAACAGAATGTGTTCTCTCTCATTTTCCTGTTCCAAAAAAAACTTCCCACCACCAATTCAAAAAACAAAAATAAAATATTTGTCAATAATCTCTTTGAAGCTTCTGGTGTCCAAAGCTAGGGCTCACTGCTGTTCTTCACCCTTTTCTCAACGTGATGGCACCACCATTCTTCAGTTATCACAGTACTGTACCTTTCAGACATACAGCATCGGTACCATGATAACCGAAAAAGGGCAGTTCAGTCTCGTATCTATCTGAGTACATCCTCACTCCACACTTGCCACCCACAGACAGCCCGTATAATCAGCTTTAAGTATATAAGCACACGTATGCATGTACGTACATGGATACACATACACATCGGTACCAAATGTGCTGCTTTCAGCAACCTCACTATCAGTGGGAAATGCTCCTTATAATTTAAGTCTGCTTAATTAGCTGCCTTTTTTTTGGCGCGTGCTTGCTTTTATACCTCAGCAGTCAATTTCTAATAACAACAAATTTCCCAAACTCACTTCAACAATATCCTACCAGAATACTCTTCCTCTCTTCCAACCAGCTAATGCACCAGCAACATGGACAAAGGGACAGCACATCTGACACAGTGAGAATGCTGGGGAAAGAGAGAGCTAAGAAAACTTAAGAACAAAAGCCAAGCTATACAGAACCAGAAGTTACCTTTAAATAGAAACAAAATTGAAAGCATGGACAAAAGAAATGCCCAAAATATATCATGCAACTTTAATTCCATGGGAATGAGGTAAGAAAGGGAGGCAAACACCCATGCATGTAGAAGTATACACCAGATTAACAGTGGCTTGTTAATATCGTATGATAGGCTATATGCAGCACATCTTTGTCATTTTCGGCAATTAGAAAATTAAACTTGTCACACGAGTGAGGTTCAAAGAAAACAACTTACGTGTAAGGGGAGAGTGGTCCTAGCAGGACTTTGGAAACATCCTGCTGTCCAAGGGTCATGAGCAATAGAGCCAGACTTTGGTTGGTTGAGTCCACACATCCACCCTGTAAACACAAACACTTTAATGATTAATCTTTGTTCAAACCAGAAAATGAAAAATCAACAGAAGAGTAACAAAAAACACCCAGAAATATATACTCAAAATAACAGAATCTACACCAATAGCAGACAAAAATGGAACACAGGTGTTATAAGAATAATCCATGTATCAGCTAGGAGGTTAAATTAACCAAAGAAATTATAATAGCTGAGAAGATCAAATGAACAGACATTCAAATTTTCTGAAGTGAATCTAATGAAAAATGAAACTTTCAGGGCTGACAGAGTGGCTCAAGTGGTAGAGTGCCTGCCTAACAAGCATGACGCCGTAAGTTCAAACCCCAGTACCACCCCTCCCCTCAAAAGACAAAACTAAAAAAGGGGGAGAGGGACTGTAGGCATAGCTAAGTGGCATAGTTGGTTTAAGGAGGTCTGTGGTTAATTCCAAGGGTTAAGTAGATAACACTTATATGTATTATAATCTGTCACAGAAGAACATACCCAATTCACCACTGAAAGGCTTTTATCTTTAAAGGGTCTTACCACTATACTCATTCTAATACACTCAGAAACTGCTGGCAAAGCTCTTAACTTCTCTTCTTTACCTCTTCCTGTGAGCATTGAAACTGGAAAACTGTTATAGTCAGAACCCTCCATTCTTATTATTTATGCATTATCTTCCCCCATTTTCCTTCCTTTTTCTTTTAAACCAACAAGCAGAATAGAATTCTCTTCAAAAACTTTCTCCTGAGACACAACTGTTTTGGTTGCCTTTCTTCTTTCCTTCTTCATTTTCTCAACTATTTCACCCAATCTGCTTGTTCATGTTACTGCTGTTTAAATTTATGTTTTTAAAAAAAGTCGTAATTTTTGGTCATTCTTTCTGGAACTTTGTTTACAACAATTTAAACTTATATAGTATATAGTTCAAGTGCAGGATGACCTGGAATTTTCACGTATTTTGCACAGGTCACAATTCAGTTTCTGATCATGGCACACTACTGTCCAAGACTAGACTGAACAGAACAGGTGGCCAGCCAAGACTGCTTATGGGTACATACCCCCCCCCTCCTTTTTAGTGCATGAAGGGTTGGAAATAAATCAATTCCCAGGTGCAGACACTCATTCTCTGGCTATAGATTTCAATTAGCAGCCCTAACAAGGATGTAGGCAATAAGGGGGGTGGTCCTACTGCTAGCCTTTATGAAAATCTATTGCTCTCCCTAAGTTAATAAAGAACAGGAAACAATGTTTATTTCACTCAATGAAATTTAAGACAAAAGTTCTTTTTCCATACAAAACAGGAAAACTGGCCAAAAAAACGAATTCCATTTTATAGATATTGCACCCTTTATAAGATTGCCTAAAATTAAACTGCTCTCTTCAGACTCTGCTTCCTATCACTAAGCTGCTCTTGCAACATTGTCAACTGATTTCTATCAGGTATTGGACCATATTTTAATGCAGTCAGTATGCTATGGTCTGTGTACAAAACAGCATGGAGGGAGGAGTGGGGGTTACCAGACGCTAAGGCACAGGGCGGAAGTGTTAGTTATCCAACACCAGAGGGAGGCTTTGAGGAACAGGAAACTTGACCTGGCACTACAGGAATAAGCAGGCTTTGGAGAGGAAGGAAGAGCAGGATGATAGGGAAATTATGATGCAGAGCCAGAGCAGAAGAGCCAGGAGGCCAGCCTCTTAAGAGAGGCACACACAGGGAGAAGAAAGGGTGGCCAGACTGAAGTAAGGCTTTTCTAAGTGGGTCAAGAGTACTGACTTTGTTCCAGGAAAGTGAGATGGCAGTGAAGGTTTCTGCACACAGGAGTCTGAAGGGATCACATCAGTATGGAGGGAGATTTAAACTGAAAAGGAAGTTGGAGAGGACATGGAAAAGACTTCCGCTCTGGAGGTGGGGAGAGCAGTTCCTGTACTAACCCAGGCCTGAGGTAAGATGGGGTTGGTTGACAGGAAATCAGGGCAGTAGAAGGAGCAGTGAAAAAGATGGAAAGCAAAGGACAATTCCAAGAAACCTGGTACAGAAGCAGGAGGACATGACAGTCCATGAACAGGAGGAATTGGCTCAGGGACTTAAAACTTTGGTAAAAATAAATAGCACCTTTAAATGAATGGATTTTTATTATTCATTCATGTCACATTACATATCTGTAGATATCTGTGGTTGCCTTATCTCCTATTTTTAATTACACAGACATTAAATAGCACTATTTAGGACCTGGACATTTTAATTAATTCTGAAAACAGTTCATTCTCCCTTGTCCCACCTTGGAACCAATGAGATGTTTTTCAAGGTCGCTGATTTGGATCAGGGCAGCTGATCCAACTATAAGCTGTCTTCAATTGTGAGGCCTGTCTCGGAAGTGATCCACATCCTGGACTACTCTCTACTATGGCAATTAATAACTGAACCAGTGACAAGAGAAAGGAATAAAAGAAAATGGCCATTGTATCCCCTTAACTGACTTTATTTCACTGGGCTGAAATGTGTTTTGCTACTTTAACCAGGACAAAACTTCCCTGGAGACCATAGATATGACAAAGAACTAGGAAGAAATACAGAAAAATGTGAAGATTTCCAGCTCCTTAGATGGGGAAGAGAAACAATTAATAAGCATTATACACCCTCCAGGAGCAAGCCACCCAGAGTCCAGTTCTTGCTAGTGTTCAGTTGAAGAATGTGGGGCCGGGCCCAGCACACACACTGAACAGAGAATGGACCATTCCTCAGATTGTCCCAGACTCTCCATGTGGAGAAGGTTTTGACTTCTTGACGCAAAACCAAGGCAGGAAAGAGTACAGACTAGCTGAAATTTTGGAAACAGGTGTGTGGCCCTCCGCTGAGAAGTATGTGGGATCTTAGAGAATGTATTTTCAGGTAACTGTATCTTACCCCTTTTGCCAGCATCTCCCTGCCCTCATGATTTTTTCTAATGTTCAGTCACCTCAACTATTTGGGCAAAGTAGTGAAAGTGTGTGCCTGCTTGTGTTCATGTTGCATCAGAGACGGTGGCTACAGAAGGCAGTTGATCTGATCTGCATACTACCAACAGAGCCGTAGAAGCAAAAGAGCAATTGGTTGAAGTCTGTCTTCAACACTGTGTCACTCTGTCCCAGGGTTTTCCAAAACCTCTACCATGTTGTGACACAAGTCTGTCGTCTTAGGCATTAATGTTGTAGAATGTCCTGCAAAATCTAGCCTGTTGATATTCTTTTATATGAGTCAACAGTCATATAGAAATCCAGATTTCATACCTTTTCTTGAAAAATCTGAAGGCAATGATGCCCATTCCCTCCTACATGGCAACATCTTGAGGAGGTGAGACACAGTGCCCTGTCTGATCAGGGGACTGTGTCAGATACCACCTTACTTGCCTGACCTGCTTCATTTTTTTTCTTTTTAAACCTTCAGTCTCCTTTCTGACTCTGTTCCAGTTCTTTGTTTTGTTTCCCATTAAAACTTACCTGCACTGTATCCCAACCCAATGGGGCTAGATCTCTGCTCACTGAGAAGTTCAAGTGATCAATTAAACCAGTTCATGTTAAACTGTTTAATACACAGACACAGATTAACTCCTTGGCTTAAGCCCTGAGAGAAGAACGAGATGAGAGACATCAATTGCCTGGTCCTGCTTGTTCCTACCCAGCACTACAGACACTTAGGACATACCCTGTAGATTTCTTCAAGCAGCAGCCTGGCACAGTTCCTGCCAAGGTCTTCTGGAAGCACTGCTGCCCCTTGGCCCTGGGGATTGGAAGCTAGTTCAGCACTGAGGAAGGTGCCATTGGTGGTCTCCGCAACCAGTGACAACCCAAAGCCTGGAGACCTGCAGATTTGAAGGCATAGATGCTGAGTAGGAAAGTACAAACACCAGCTTTTTTGATGGCAGTTTTGATGGCATTTTATTTTATGGCTTCTTTTGGTTCCATTAAGCCTTATCAGAGTACCTACTAGCTTATACTAGAAATACAGACTACTGAGTGAAGACAAGGCTACTGGATATGAAACATCTACTTTATAATCTTTTAAGAGAAGGAAGATTACATTTGTCATCTGTAACCTGAGATTTAGAAAACTAAGGCTGGCAGAGTGGCTCAAGTGGTAAGAACACCTGCCTACCAAGTGTGAGGCCCTGAATTCAAACTCCAGGGCTGCCAAAAAAAAAAAAAAAAAAATTGAGATTTAGAAAACTAAACACAAACTTAAATCATACTATGGTTTTATATGTAATCTTTTAATTGGTGCTTATAGTTGATGATCCATGAGTCTACATCATGTCACATCTTGATTCATGTGTAAGGCTTCTACTCACCATCAGCAAGGATGGAACTTTATCGTGTACTATGGTCAGCTGAGTCACTGGCCTTATAAAAAGCCACACTACAGCTAGTGGCAACCAACATAGCCTCTGGGCCTGCTCTGCTTCATTCCTGACCACTCTCTGGTAAAGCAAGAGGTTAGACGGAGAAGGGACTATCAAATGTGAGTCATTTAGATGCCTTCTGCTGCTACCTACCCTCCCCCAGCCTTCTGTACTCCCCTCTGTAGAAAATAGCTGACACATTAATTCCAGACCTGCAGCCAAGACAGGAGGGAAAGGAGAGAACAGCATTAGCAGTTACCATTTCTGTAGCACCTACTATGTGCTGGGCATCACATTAATAGCTTACATATATTATCTTTAATATTTACAATAACCTCGAGAATGTAAGATTATCGCCTTCAATGTATAAATGAGGAAAATACTATTGATGTTTAAGTAATAAATCAAAGGTTTGAGACCTTCATTGACCTTTCAAATCCCCAGAGGAAAGGGCAGACTTTGCATACAAATCCTTTCCCAACCCTAACCTCTGACACCACCCACCACCTTTGTTGCTTTGGACTATGAGCCACCACTGTGTTTCTGAAATCACCTTCATCTTTCCATTGGGCCTCACAAAGGTCAAAGATTCTCACTAATGCTCAATGCCCTTCCCCACTTTCACTCTCTTTTCTTCTTTTTGCTGAAAAGGAACCTTGGGTAGAATGGCTGTGAAAGGATCAGCTATAGTGCGACTTAGGAAAAACCTGACTTCTTAACTCACAATAGCTAACCCCAGACTGTGATAGTCCTACTTTTAGGAGACAAAACCTGAAAACTTCAGATTCAAAACATAATGTGAGAACTAAAAAAATAAAAAATGATTCCATCACTTATAATGAAATGCTCCATAAAAAAGTAAAAACAGAGCCAGACACCAGTGGCAGCACCTTTAATCCTAGCTACTTGTGAGGCTAAATGCAGGAGGACTTCGAGTCAAGGCCAGCCTGGACAAAAGGTTAATGAGACTACATCTCAACCAATAACTGGGCATGGTGACATGTACCTATCATCCCAGCTACATGGGAAACTGAAATTGAGAGGACTATGGTTCCAGGCCAGCCTGGGCAAAAAAGTTCATGAGACCCCATCTCAACAAAACTTGATAGGCTTTTCACCTCTACCTAGAGATCTCACTATTTTGCTACATAGATGAGTGTGCTCATAGATAACTGTCTTTAGGTAGCTCGTCTGATTTCGGGGTGCTTAGCAAAGTTCTCTGTATTAAGTTTTTTCTAGTTAAATCATTATGCAAAAGGTACAAGGTGTAATCTTTGCTTTTTAGTGCTTTAAATTAATCTTTCATCTTTCCCTTGCTGGGGTGGTAGCATGTACCTGTCACCCCAGCCATGGCAGGAATGTAAAACAGGAGGACCACGGTCCAGGCCAGCCTAGGCAAAAAACAGAACCCTATCTCAAAAACAGGGTTCTCAGCAAAAATGGCTGGTGGACTAGCTCAAGTTTTTAAGCATATGCCTAGCAAGAGTGAAGTCCTGAGTTCAAATTCCAGTACCACCCCCCAAAAAAATTACACATCAAGAAAACACACAAAGAAGTAAAGCATATGTGACAAAATACTCTATAGCTAGAGGCAATAGAAAGACATACAAGTATTCATTGTACTATTCCTTCCATTTATTCTGTAGGTAATTACCCATTTTGTAATTAACAAAAATTGTTTAAATTGCTTCCCTACCTTTCTTGTTCCTAAATACACAAGCAACGGCTAAGAGTCATTTTTATTACACAGATCATCATTTTTTCTATTTGCATTTTAATTTTCCTTACTTAAAAATGTTTTTAATTTTAATTTTGCTTTTCAGTGCTAGGGATAGAACTCAGGGCCTCATTCATGCTAGGGAAGTATTCCAGTGCTAAGCTATACCCCCAGCCCTAATAGGTTTGTATATAGTTGGGTTTTGGTTTTCTTGCAAAGGGGTGGGTAGTTGTCATTGTTTTGAAACAGGGTCTCACTATGAAGCCTAGCCTGGAGCTCACTTTGAGCTTGTGATCCTCCTGCCTCAGCTTCCCGAGTGCTAGGATTACAGATGTGAGCTACCATGCCCAGCTCTGTTTGTTCATTTGTTTACTTATTGCAAAAGCTTTAACTAAACAAAATTCAAACCTTTAAGAACAACTTTCTGTTACTGCCATCGATGTAGAGAGAAGCTGACTTGCAGTTAGATAACACAGGACTTTTCCCTATTTACTATTATTTACTCATGGTGGAAGAATCTATTCATACTTTTTAATTGTTGTTGGAACAGAATGCAGACAGGCTTTAAAGTTAAGGCACTGTTTACTAATAGACAGACTGGTTCTCCAAGGCTTAGGGACTGAACCCTCAGCTCCCAGCACAGGCCACTGGGATGCTTTCCATGTGGCAGGCACTAAAGAAATGCCTGGTGGTGACAACAACAACAATCAGAAGGAAATTAATTCAGAGCTGGCAGTTTTCACTAAAAGTAGAAAAGGAATGTGAAAAAGGCTTGGGTAGCTATGGAAGTAGATTCTAAAATGCAGACACTTACTTCCCAGAGTTGACTCCTTTCATGTGGTCTGTGTAAATATAGATATCAGGAATGAACTTGTTGAGGATGCTCCTTGCAGAATCCACAATCCGGTTTGCCATCTGAGGTGACACACGGACAGAGTATCTGCAGCCTGAAGTTAAGAACACATGCTGTCTGGACCCCAGGAAAGTCAGTTCTGAGGTTGGGAAGCATTTATCAAACTGTATGACAAACTAGGGCTTATAATTCCATTATTTTCCAACTGTATGTAATAACTTAACAGTAGCATAACTCAACTTTTTTCATTATTACAAAAGGTTCAAATGGTCACAGTGAAAAAATCCAAATTCAGAGAATGGAAGTACAACACCCAAGAACACTTTTCAATCCTATGACTAAACTAAGAAGTCCTTGGCTAAGAACCAAAAGCCAGCAAAGATATGACACTGGGATAGACCTGGGCCAATCCCAAACCACCTCCTGGTATACTGATAGGGGAAGCACAAAACATTTAGGGAAAGATCAAGGTGACTGCTGTTTATAAAGATTTAAACAGGTTTCTTAAACTTAGAGAGACTATTCCCTATTATTAAAGAATTAATTAGTCCATTTGTGGATGACACAGGTTCCTCCACCTGCTACCTCATGGCTAAAAATACCAATAACTAGCGTTTTTACAATACAGCACCACAGAAAAGAAGGAAGACATGAGTAACAAAAGTGAAAAGGCTGGTATTTGAGGATGTGGTTCTCCCCAACTACACATGTCAAATATAAACCGAGTAAGGACTGAGCACTTTCAAAGTGCAATCAATGTGCAACGTATAGTCAAGAGCTGGCTGTACAAGTGGGACTACAGGAATGGAAAAATAACATGTGACCTTCCCACTATCTTGATATATACCCACATGGCAAGTTCAACAAGCAAAGCAGTATATGTGGTATGCCTATTCCAGCCCAACTGTTCAAGAATTACTGTGAATTCACATTTCATTTTCATTTAAGCCAAGAAAGTGAATGCTGTAAACTTGACCCGGCATCTAGCTCCCTTATTTGACTTGTCCTGAACACTTCACTAACAGTGATCTCCCTCATGTTGAGTCTCACAGTGACTCCTGACCTCCTAGATCTTGTTGTCAAACCATACAGCCTGCTGCTCAGTGTGTTCATCCTCAAACCAGCACCATCACCCCCATCCACCCACTCATATTGTCCAAATTCTTCAACATTAACTGCCTTTTCCATTCCCCCAGCCCAGAGATTCCCCCTCTCTTTCCTCTGAAGCTCCGTAGCCAGCATGACTGTAGTGTCTACTGGAACTTACCATATGTCTCCCTTCACATACACACACCTCCATCTTGCTCATCAAAGAGACCACATACTCCATAAGGACAGTGGCTTTTCTGCTGTATCCCTTACAACTTTCTAATACTCTACTTATATACTCAGAAACGCTCAATAATTATTTGACTTGACTCAAAGGACAAACCTGACATGGGGAAAGAGCAAAGAAGGATTTTTCAATACACACACAGAGCTCAGTTACATCACCACCGCTTAGGTCCACATCGTACTTTTGACCACAGGCAGTTTTGATAAACAGTCATGGGCCTCATACCCTTTGGACCGAGTGGGTGCTATCCTTCTGGGACCTAAGCCTACCCACTCTCTTCAGGACAGCACAGCTCAGGAGATGTTTCTCTCTTTCTTTTTTTTTTCTATGATGGGACTGGTGTTTGAACTTAAGGCTTCGTGCTTGCAAAGTAAGTACTAACAAAGCAGGTGCTCTGCCATACCTCCAGTTCATTTTGCTCTGGTTATTTTGGAGATGGGGTCTTAAGAACTATTTGCCCAGGCAGGTCTCAAACTGCCATCCTCCTGATCTGAGCCTCCCAAGTAGCTAGGATTATAGGCATGAGCCATGGAGCCTGGCCAGATGTCACTACCTTAACACCTAATTCCACAGAGTTCATGGCTCCCAACATTCTCTCACATACATTAACACCTTACTTTATGCTCATAGCAACCCTGTGGGTTTACTCTATGGTAAGTCCTTAGGAAGCAAGGCTAAGATACTTGCTCAAAATGAAACAGATCTGGCTTCTAAAACATATTTTCCTCTCACTCTTCCAGAGTATATGGAAACCAGGCAGGTAAGGGGTGGGGGCCGTGCATGTGTGTGGTAAGAGAGACTGACAGACATTCTCAAAGTGGCTTTCCATTCAGTCAAGGGAAGAAAAACATATTATCTAACAAATTCCAACTCACCCTCCTCTTCGGTCTCTATCCTGACTTCTTCATTTAACTCTTACATACTGAGTCATGAGCTCTGGGATAGCACCACAAAACTAAAACAGAGTGTTCCTTTCTCTCTCCACATCAGGCAACAGGGAGAACCAGAGTGGGTGGCATTTAATAAAAGGTAAATACTGTCCAGTGACAGCTGCTAGCAGGAACAAAACCAGCTCTCTCCCAGACTCTGGCCAGTTGGTTCTCAATCTGCAGAATGCAAGAGAAAGATGTACCGGAGGGAAGGGAACGACTCAGTTCTCCCAACTAGAGCCCTGGTGGGTAAAACAACCACCAAGCTCAGGCCAACAGTTAATCAGCCTCACAAGGAAAAAACCAACAAAACTAACTAAAGCTCTTTCCAAAGGCAGCTCTTTCTTCCCCAGGTTCCAAAACTGGCAAAGAAGGTGATAATTCAAGCCCACATTCCTTTGAGGTGTTTGTTAAATAGGCAGCTCTGTTGACCACTGGCCAGAATATTTGGCTTACAGACAGGACTCTGAGCAAGGGCGTTGTGTCCACTTTTCTGGGAAGAGAAACCTCTACTACTCAAGAGAGGTACTGGAGATGATTTAGGTGTTCTAGCCTTGCTTCAGGAGGGAGGGATATGGGACCTAGCAAGAATCTTCCTGGCTCCGATTCTATACAGGGAAAGTTCAAAGAACATCAGCAGGAGAAGACAGGACGGAGCAAAGTTGCACCCCAGGGGCCCAGAGCACCACAGTTCTTCCAGCTTACATATTCCCCTCTGTAAAACCCTGGAGGCTGCCATGTTCCAGCAGTGCCATCAAAGGGACATTCACAGGCTTTTGCATACCTGGAAGAGAGAGCACAGGAGGCACCCCAGTATGATGGCCTCCATGGAACCTGTTACTATGATAACACAGTGTCAAAACAAATAGCACACTGCCAGAAATCACATTTCTAGACTACAGAGACTGGATTTCAAGCAGAGTTCACTACCAAAAACAGAATTAAGGAAACATATCTCAAATAGAGAAAAAACAACAAAAACTGAAGTAGTCCTGAAGGTGTGTAGGTCTTCATGCACAAAGCCATTAACATTTTTGTTAAATTAAAATTTGCTCAAAAAAAGAGAAAACAAATGGTCATGAACAGGGTTTGATTTGGAGGTTCTTTATATGGTGGAATATTAATGAGCTCCACGTATAAGTGACTGACATGGATCAGCAGAAAAGGCATATTTGATTTAAAAAATAAACACCTACTATCATGATTCAAGACCAATCTCCGGCAAAAAGTTCATGAGACACCTCCCCCTACCCATCTCAACCAATAGCTGGGACAGCTGTGTGCATTGGCATGTGGCTATCATCCCAGCTAAGCGGAAGCTAAGATTGAGAAGACTGTAGTTCCAGGCCAGCCCAGGCAATAAAAGTCTGTGAGACCTCATCTCAATGGGAAAAAAAAAAGCTGGGTTTGGTAGTGTGTACCCGTCATCCCAGCTATGGCAAGCATAAAATAGGAGGATCATCGTCCAGGCTGGCCTGGGCAAAAGCAAGACCCCATCTCCAGAATAACCAGAGGGCTACAGTTATGGCTCATGTGGCAGAGTGCCTGCTTAGCAAGCACAAAGCCGAGTTGAAAACCAAGTACTGTCAAAAAAAAAAAAAAAAGCCAAAAAACCAAAAAATACTTACTCACATTATATTTCCATAATTTTTTGGACCTCTCACTATACCTTCTCTATAGCCTTGTTCCACTCCCTTGGAATTCATGAATATTAGAGTTGAACACCACCTTTGAGAGTCACTTGGCCAATTTAACTGTCCATCACACTGGGGGCTCCCAGGACAGGACCCATTTCTCCTAAACCCTTCCACATTCTTCTTATACACACAAGGCTTATCCCTGCCCAGGGCAGCCCTGCAGAGAACACACAGTAACTCAGGAAAGTTTTATCAGGTATTTCATACTTCTGATGATTATTACAAAGACTTTCAGGCAGCATTGCAAGTTTGATCTTTAATGTCGACAACTGCTCTCTCCACCTGGTGGGTGCGTAACCCACTCTATTTTATGTTCTTCACCACCTACTGTTCAAGCTAAATGAAACCTCTAAAAATCTCAATTCACATCACACCTCTTTTCTTCCAAGTAAGAACATCTCCAAACCTAAGAAATGCAAAACTTGACCCCACAAAGCACACTCCTGATCTATCTCATTTCCTTGTCACAGTCCCACCAGGAGAATCATTGCTCAACTTATCCAGCTCCCTGGCCTCCAATACTTGTCCACACTCAGATCTCTTGTCAGAACCTAGAAGTTTAGTTTTTTTTTGTATTTTTTCCCCCTCTGGTAAGACTGGAGTTTGAACTGAGGGCTTCACACTTGCAGAGCAGATGTCCTACTGTGTAAGCTGTATCTCCAGTCCATTTTGCTCTGATTATTTTGGAGGTGGGGTTTTGCAAACTATTTGCCCAGACTGGCCTCAAATCATGATCCTCCTGATCTCAGCCTCTCAAGTAGCTAAGATTATGGGCATAAGCCACCAGCACCCAGCAAAGTTTAGCACTTTTAATATGTAAAGCCCCAAAAGAGAATTCCCTAAATTCCTTATTCCTCTACACAACACACATATCTACTTCCACTGGACATGATCTTCAAATCTTTTAAGGTCTCTACACAACACACATATCTACTTCCAGTAGACATTATCTTATTCCTCTACACAACACACATATCTACTTCCACTAGACATGATCTTCAAATCTTTTAAGGTCTCTAACCACTTGACTTCCTGCGCACAAGTGAGGCGCACAATGGCAATCCCTTCCCTCCTCTCTCCCATCCTCCTGACTGCTCATTCTTCATCCTGCCAAGTACATCAATCCCTGAAGGTAACTACCTTCCCTACTTCTTGCTTAGGCTGCCACCAAGATCAAAGTTCAACTTCAGCTGAGCCATTATTGCTGTTCCCCAAGCCTCTATTATCTTCAGTTTCTTTGTCACACTGTAACAGCGAACCTTTGCCATCCTTTTAACATTCCCATTATCCCACCCTACTCTTCCCCTTATCCTCAATTCCATCCTAGCTCAGTATAACTGAAAACTCACCCAAGCCTCTCCCACTCCCCTCCACAAAGCTTTCTTTTCTTTCTTTTTTACATTTTTTTGAGACATAGTCTCACTACATAGCTCAGGCTGGCCTTGAATTCAAGATCCACTACCTCTGCCTCCCAAGTGTTAGGCATGCACCATCACACCTATAATCCCAGCTGCTTGGGAGGCTGAGATCAAGAGGATGTGGTTCAATACCAGGTTAGGCAAACAGTTTGCAAGACTCCATCTCCAAAATAACCAGAGGAAAATGGACTAGAGGTATGGCTCAAGCAATAGAACACCAGCTTTGCAAGTGTGAAGCCCTGAGTTCAAACCTCAGTCCCACCAAAATAAACAAACAAACAAGGTATAAAGTGTTTATCAAAGTAAGCACTTAATAAAGATATTGTTCATTATTATTATTCCACCCCTCCAAAATCCTCCAGACAAAAACTAATTACTCCCTACACTCAGCTACCCCGTGCACATACTGCTCCTACATTATTCTCTACACATCAGAACTATTTGTTTACATAGTTTGTGTCCTTCCTTAGGGGTCATTTGCTTAAGTATTAACTGGGGAAAAAAAATGAACAAATTAATCTAGTCATGATTAAGCAGATAAAAACATATCTCAACTAACCTTGTGATTTCACTGTTAAAACTTTCCCAAGATCACTGTGTCTCACAAGTAATTATCCTAGGAGAGGTAAAGCTGTTAGTCATACTTATCTTAGTGAGGCAAGAGAAAAATAAGACATCTAAACCCAATGCAAAGGATACGCCATTCCTCTGATACGTTTGATTTTTCCTGGATCAGTAAGCTGAATGGGCTTCAGGATCTTCCTTACAGGACAAGAGAAGACCACTTCACCTCCTCCTCCAGGAGGCATTCCTCGTCGCACAATCTGCACAAAAAGGTGGGGAGATGAGGGAAGGATGCAGCAAGCAGTGGGTCCCCCAACACCCAGCCAGGGACGGTTTTACCCACAGGCTCTTCCCTCACAAGGCAGATAGCTTTCAAAGTCAACCTCTCAATTCCTTCAAAACCAATAGCACCATTTGTCAGCTGCAAGAGGGCATGTGCTCAGCTGCATATCCAAAGCAAAATCAAAGTGGCTTCTGCCTCCATCTACATAACCCTGAGCAAGTTGGTTCACCACATGGATCGATTTTCTCATCCTAGTTTACCAGCTGATCTTATTTCTTAACCACTGGGAATCCTTTTTCTCCTCCTATGCAAATAACCAATCTATCAAAACTCTACATTATCCATAAACATCAACTAAAAAAATCAAGATAACCAGTATCAACAGACTGAATTGACAATAATTCCTTTCAGTAGAAAACAGATGCACAAATAACTTGTACTAGATTTTAGAAACAATGAAAATTCTCAGACACACTCCTAGACATAAATTATACAGATGACATAGATACTCCTTAGCTAACTGGACAGAGCATGTTGTGAGAAGTGAAGGAGTCAATCTATGAAAAATACGAACAACAGCACCTACCACAAAGTAAGTACTATTGTCATTACTAAAGTGTCCCTTTCAGTGGGAAGTCTGTAGTGGTTGGTGGTTGACTGATGAGTCCTTTGGGTCGTTTGATAAACAGAGACTTCAAATGTCAGAGAGAGAGAGAGAAAGAGAGAGCTTCCAATGAGTTGATAAGAAAATGTTTGACACTAACACATAAAACCATAATTTCTTACCTTTAGCTCAAACGATTCTCCATCAATCCCAAACTGTTTCAACAGAGGAAGTGCTGTTGCCTTAAGAACGTCAACCTGGAAATTATTTTGGAAAAAAGAAGTTTAAACCATGGGCAGACAGAAAGACTTAAGAAACAGGTGAAGCTCAGCAACCAAGCAGATGGTACAATTCGCTAGAGAGGAATGCTAGTTTACAACTGCTCTGCGCTCTGCCCTAAGTAAGTCCGCTATTTTACAAGTCACTGGGTTTTTCAAAGCCCCACTTTCCTCACTTATGACAGTCACTTACACCTACCTTAAAGTCACGTGAGCATCACAAGCATCAGGTAAAAGGCATGGGGAAAATTTCTGGCTCATACAGAAAACAAAGTGGGACCTCTGTTCATTCTAGGGAAGAAATTATCTTTTTCATGGCCTTTTAATATTTATAGTTTGGGGCATTCTGAGTCAAAGCAAACCAAATGAACTATTCAATGCTAACCTAAGAATCCAGACATGGTGATTCTTCATGGGAGTAGGGGGGGTGGAGGGAACTCAAACTACATGAAGGAACACAAACCCTAAACTGCAACTGCAAGGCATTCACAGTTAATGGAGAGATTTTGCCAAAGCCTGCTACTGCTAATCTCTTTCCTATTAAAAGTCCTAGAAAGTCTTTCTTATTCATTCATGGAAAAAAGGATAACATTCAAATCATGTATATCTAACAAGTCAATGAATAATGCTAAACTATCACAGGGGAAAGAGAATTACTCCCTTATCCTATGTTCCCAAGGGAATGAGAAGTCCACCCTGCTGAGGCTGACCCTATCAAAAAGAAGTGGGGATATACCCAAAAGACTGTGACACAGGTTACTCCAGAGGCACCTGCACACCCATGTTTATTACAGCACTATTCACAATAGCCAAGTTATGCAAACAGCCAAGATGTCCCACCACTGACGAATGGATTAAGAAAATGTGGTATTTTATACACAATGGAATTTTATGCAACCATGAAGAAGAATGAAATCTTATCATTTGCAAGTAAATGGATGGAACTGGAGAACATCATTCTGAGAGAGGTTAGCCTGGCCCAAAAGACCAAAAATCGTATGTTCTCCCTCATATGCAGACATTAGACCAAGGGTAAACACAACAAGGGGATTGGACTTTGAGCACATGACAAAGCGAGAGCACACAAGAGAGTGAGGATAGGTAAGACACCTAAAAAACTAGATAGCATTTGTTGCCCTCAACGCAGAGAAACTAATGCAGATACTTTAAAGCGACAGAGGCCAATAGGAGAAGGGGACCAGGAACTAGAGAAAAGGTTAGCTGGGGAAGAATTAATTTAGACGGTAACACACATGTACAGGAAAGCAATGCGAGTCAACTCCCTGTATAGCTACCCTTATCTCAACTAGCAAAAACCCTTGGTCCTTCCTATTATTGCTTATACTGTCTCTTCAACAAAATTAGAGATAAGGGCAAAATAGTTTCTGCCTGGTAGCGAGGGGATGGGAGGGAAAAGGAGGGGGCGGGAGAGTTAAGGGAGCTGGGGGGGAAGGAGGAAGAAATGACCCAAACATTGTATGCACAGATGAACAAAAGAAAAAAAAAAAAAGAAATGAGGGCAGGCAGCATGTGCAGATGTCCTGGCCCTAGTCCTGGTCCTGGCTCTGCCGCTAATTAACTGCACAGCCTCAGACAACACACACAACTACCTGATTTTCCTTGTCTCTAAGATAAGGGTCTCAAAGCCAGGCTATCTCCAAGCTTCTAACAACTTTAACAAGCTGATCAATAAAATGATTTTATAGCAGAGGACAGGTTCCAATTAAATGTTAGATATCAGAAAATTAACCAGAATGGGATGGCAGAATGGCTACAGTGGTAGATCACTAGCCTAGTTAAGTGTGAGGCCCTGAGTTCAAACCTCAGTACAGCCAAGAAAAAAAAGAAAGAAAAAGAAGAAAATTAGCTAGAATTAGAAATAACCTGTAGGGCCTAGAAACACGTTATATTCAGAATGAGTCAGATGTGGCAGGGGCAGTGACTAGGGAAACCCATTAAAGATTAGCTAATTTCAATTTAATATTAAAGCTAAACACACCCAAAAAAACAAGCAGTCATACATCACTTCACAATGCAGAGGCATTCTTATCACCATTTGCGATTCCATTCTTATGGGAATACCATATAGTGTCCTTACATAAACCTATATGGTACAATCTACTACACACATTGTTCATTCAACCTCCAGAATTATCCTTAAACCCATACTGACTCTGTGGCTTTCTTTCCTCTAGTAACCCTTCCTGACTGCTATGGTTTGCATGTCTTCTCCAAAACTCAAGTTGAAATTTAATTGTTATTGTAACGGTATCAAGAGATGAGATCTTTAAGAAGTGATTAAGTCATGAGGACACCACTCTCATGAATGAATTGAGGTCATTTTCATGGTAGGGGATGACTTGGGAATGGGCATTTGATAAAAGGGTGAATATGGCTCAATTTCTCTGTCTTACCATGTCATGACGCAGCACAAAGGCCTTTACCAGGTACCAGTGCTATGCATTTGGACTTCTCATCTCCAGATGATAAGAAATAAATCTCAGACTGGGAACATGATTCAAGTGGTAGAGAACTTGCCTAGGAAGTGTAAAGCCCTGAGTTCAAGGGCAGAAGGTTGGGAAAGAAGGAGGAAGGAAGAATTCTGTTCTATATAAACTACCCAATCTCAGGTATTTTGTTATAGCAAGGCAAAACAGACTAGGACACAGTTGCTCAGCACTTTGCTTATAGTTCTATTCCCAAGGGAATTCAGCCTTATTCTCTCCCTAGCTGTGTCTACAGCTGTCTCTACTATGATAATGAGAGTTCCTTGAGGAGTAGAATCACTCTAGGTATTCATCCTTGTATGGAGCGAGTAGATGAGGACATAAACTGATAGGAAAACCACACAGAAAAGAGGGAGCTTGAAATGAAGATACCACAGAATGAAGAAGTGACTCTTTATCCAATATTAGGGGTGTTTATTTTAACCCAGGCTAGACCCAGGTACTAACCACCAGCACTTTAGTCACATAGTGATAAAAGCAGATAGTCTTATAGCACATGAAAAACAAATTTTTTGAAAACTCTGCATAAAAGAGTTAAGCACTATTTCTGAAATTCATCAACTGTTAATATATGAACGTTTTTATAAAACTTGTTAAATGAGCTGGGCACTAGTGGCTCACACCTGTAGTCCTTACTACTTGGGGAGACTGAAAGCTGGAGGCTTGAGGTTCAAGGCCAGCCTGGGCAAACAGTTCATGAGACCCCATCTCCAAAATAACCAACGCAAAGTGGACTGGAGGCATGGTTTAAGTGGTAGAACACTGGCTTTGCAAGTGTAAAGCCCTGAGTTCAAACCCCAGTCCCACAAAAAAAAAGAAAAAAAACCTTGTTAAATGCTAAAGTAAGAACAGCTCTTAAGATTATTAGCAATCATAGAAAAGACAGGCTGATGGAGATGCTCAAGTGGTAGAGTGCCTGCTTAGCAAGTATGAGGCCCTGAGTTCAAACCCCATAACCACAAAAATAAATAAAAAGAAAAAAAGAAAAGGACTACAAAACTGGAAAACACAGTACTAAAGTCCTAAGTGTACTTCAGGTCCTTTTCCCACTATTTGAGGCATATTACCTCCTTACAACCTAAAAGTGTAGATGCCTCCTCTCTCATTTTTAACCAAAGGGCCCCTTTCCTGGGATCTTCTAGAAAATGCAAGGGAAAAAACACTTAATTTAAAATTCTAAACAGCTTATGCAACATTCAACATTCCTTATAGCTAAAAATTTCAGATCCTGCACTGTACTTAACATCCTAGGAAGAGTTGATGCAGGTGAGTTTTCAAGAATTGAAGGGTAAGTTTTCTACTGCCTAAGAACACACTAACCATGTATAGACCTTAGTAGGTACCTTGTTAAATACCAGCAGCCTACATGTGGGGCTCACCGAGCCACTAACTGGCTTTCCTTTCAGTTAGGAAAACGACACACTTTACAGTTGGCTTCAGGAGCTGCCCACTTAACGGCTGTGGACTACACAGCAAGGCTGTCTCTTCCATCAGGATTTCATGGCCGTCAGCTTTAAGACACTTCCTCTACACAGGAAAACATACTGTACACTTCTCTCTCTATGAGATGTCTAAGACTGGCACTAAATCAGCTGTAGTGACCAAAATGAAAATTTTAGTTGGGTATTAAATCATTCTCCCCATATATACAGGAAAATTAGTATACTTAATGAGAAGCTTGCTGATACCCACAAACTAGCACATGCCCTCCCTGTCCGTACACCTTGTTTCTAATTCTGAAAACTGGAAAGTCCTTAAGTTTACGGATGAAACAGATAAGAAAAGATTATACTGTGGTAATGCCAAGAGACATTTCCTGCCTAAAACGTTGATCTGCTGCCTCTAGCCTCAGCTCACAGGATCTTAGAACTCCACTCACAGACTACAGCCAACACAGCCATATTTCATATCAAACATGAAACAGCAAGCACCTGTTCTGAAGGTTCCTAGACACAACAATGAAAGGCACCTTGATGAATGTCAGCAATCATCCCGAATTTGATGATTTTAAGTCTTGGTTCATCTGCTATGGAGTGAATTAGTCTCTAAGTCTCAAGGTAAATAACTAGAGAAAGTCACTTGAAAATAAACCGGGCTTTAAAAGAAACTTTTTTCTGAGAAGTTGGGTTGTGACAATAGACAAAATAAAAATTAAAAAAAAAAAAAATCACATCATTATTTGGTCTCAATACTCACCGAAGGGTCAACTTGGTCATTGGTCACTCCTCGCAGAACTATTTTTAAAGGATGCTTCATAAATGGAGCCAGGCAAAGAAGACCCTCCAGGTAATAGCCAATGCTGCGAAGGACACTACAATCATGTTCCACAGATCCACCATACAGGAGGCCAGGCTGATAATATAAGGTCGTTCCTTAAACCACACAAAAAACAGCCAGATGCATCAGAAACAAAACCAAGTGTCACAAGGCAATGAAGACAGTGAGTTCTAAGGGGAAAATCTGACAAGGGCATGGAAGTTCAAAATGCCATTCCTAAGAACCTATGCCTCACTCCAAAAGCTGACTCACTACTACTCCCAAGCCTCTGTAACAATAATAAACTGTGAGTGTAACTTAATAAACAGTAATAAATTAAACCCCTCCCTAAGCCATCTAATTTGCCAGAACCACAGCAGGACACAGAGCAGGGCTCCTAATAGACATCCATGCCTCCCAGTGGCACACTCTCAGATCATACTGGTTTCAGGCTCATGAAAATCATCACACCAGCAGTCTGCATCCTCTAGGCCCCCGAAATGAGATCGCTTGTACATTCACTTACTAAACAAGATCCTTAGAAAAGGCAAGAACTTTGTAGCATTCAACACCATTAATGACAGTTATTTTAATTATTAGTAAGTGGAAATATCTCAAATTATTTTATGGCTACAGTGAATGTTCTTCATTACCCTTATTTGCATATTTATATCAAAAAAATTCTTACTGGATTTACTTATGGCAGGGAAAACAAAGTAAAACACCCTACATGTGTGAGAGGGATAAATACACAAACAAGGTATTTCTTTTTTTTTTTTATTTTATTTTATTCATATGTGCATACAATGTTTGGGTCATTTCTTCCCCCTTCCCTCTACTCCTTCCCTTAAGCCCCCAACCCCTTGCTTCCAGGCAGAAACTATTTTGCCCTTATCTCTAATTTTAAACAAGGTATTTCTGTAGCTCAAAATCTTTCACAGTGTCTTCTGGTACCATTTACCAAAAGTAAAGTTAAGAAATTTATCAAAAATAAATTTAGACAAGGAGATATGTTTTGTTATTCAAGTTGGAAACAGCTCTTAGGAGTTTCATAAAATAAACTTTGTTATATTAAACATCAAAATCCAAAAAGTTAGATCAAAGTCAAATTCTGATCAAAGTGACTAATATTTCTCAAAATGAAGAATCTGGGTCATTTATTCTAAGTAGTATTGAATCACAATACTATCCTTTAGATCAAGAAGCCAGAAAGAGAGAGAAAGACAACAGAACTACAAAATTCTTCAATTCTATCAGTTTATGCCTACAAATTAGTCAAATAAGAAACTGACCAGATTGGGGGGGTGGGGAGGGAGGAAGGAAGAGGGCAAAGGGAGGGAGCAGGATCCTCATACGTCTTACTCTTTGGCCTACATTGCAGTATGACTAGAGAATAAAATTATCGGCCTTCTGAAACACCAGCAAAAGCTGCTTTTTAAAAATCTCTAGCAATTTCACAGCAAACAAACCAAGGAAGACTAAGGGAATCACAGCTGGCAAAGGGCATCTGAACATCTCATTCCTAACACCTGTGTTCCATTAGATATGGCTGAATGCCACTACCAATAAGCACATCTCACAGGTGCAAAGCCACCCAGGAATCCAAGCCTGTCTTCTTTAAGAAAGCCAACATATGGGAAAAGTCAGAGAATCCTTTGTGAATATAGGTATAGAATTCATAGAGTCAGCCAAAGTATGTTTGCCATAGTCTAACACAATAGAGATAAAGATTCTAAAAGGAAAAAAAAATGCTGCAAAAACCTAAATGTCCATCATAGGGAATAGTTAAAAAAATTATTACCCATCCACACAGTGGAATACTATAGAAATATGACAAGAGAAATATGCAAGTGAACCTGCATGTTCCAGCAAGGAAAGTTCTGAGACATTTATGCTAGTGGAAAAACACCAGCTACAGAACAACACGAAAAACATGACCCTGTTGAAGGACTGGGTTATACAGGTGCCCATGTAAGCAAATGTGATAGCTGTTACCCTTGGAGATGGGTCTAGAAAAGAGGTAAAGTAATTTTTACATATTTGCATATATTTGTATAAACTTATTTTAAGAGACAAAATTTTAAATATAATAGATTTCAGCACATACAATTACCCCAGAGTTTGTTATAAGAACTTAAAGTGATGGTGTGAATAAAATAAATAAATAAATAAAATAAAATAAAATAAAGTGGTGGTGTGAGTAAATGGTCTATGAAAAATTTTGTGTAGCCAGTCCAGTGCCAAGTGGTTCACGCCTATAATTCTAAATATTTGGGAGGCTAAGATTAGGAGGATCACAGTTTGAGGCCAGCCTGGACAAACAGCTCACAAAACTCCAACTCCAAAAGAACCAGCACAAAATGGGCTGGAGGTGTGGCTCAAGTGGTGGAGTGACTGCTTTACAAGCACAAAGCCCTAAGTTCAAACCCAGTCCCACCAAAAAAAAAAAAAAAAGGTTTTGTGCAAATATTAGGTATAAAATATTTTTACTCTTTTAAAAAGAAGGTGTGCTTGCTTGTTTGTCTGAAGTGTTTTCAGTCATCTACCTTCCTTAAATCAATTGTACACTTCTGGACAACAATATGACAGACAGGAAACTGGGCCTTTCCATCTGAACCCAGTATTTTAATGAGCCAGAATGATGAGCTCTGATGACAATTTCCAATCATACCTTCTTCATGTTAATTTCAAACGGTACCCACCAAACATTCTAGTTTGATAATGGTTTATGTAACACAAAGTGATAAGTAAAGTTTTTAACATTAATACAGTATTTATACCATCAAAAAGAGTAAGACACAGAGGAATGCTTGAGTAGTGCATGCAGGTTCTTCCAGGAACAGACAGAAAAGGAGCTTACCTGTTTGGTTTATTTCAATTCGAGAACCATTAGTTATTTTGTCCAATAACCTTATGAAGCTGGCTTCAAAATCTATAGGGAGAAGAGAAAACAGATTGGCCTTCTGTTAGGTCATCATTTCCAGAAAGCACATCTGGTCCAGGTACTGCAGCAGAGGGCAGGTTAGGTCATCATTTCCAGAAAGCACATCTGGTCCAGGTACTGCAGCAGAGGGCAGGTTACTTCCAATATCACCACTGGGTTTTCCTCTGAAACTGGCTGAGAGAGTACGGGTTGAGGAACTTGAATCAGTGGAAAAGCACTGACAAGAATATATGGTTAGTAGAACCGCTGGAAATAAGTACACATTCACATTCCACACAAGAAAAACAGCAACTCTACCAGCAATCTAATGGGATGCATAAAACCCATCAAAGGCTAGTTCTTTGACCTCAGAAAGGCATTCCAAATTGGGAAAGGCAGCAGAAAGTAAGTAAATGGACGGCCATCCTTTAGTCTCATAGACAGGAACAGATCACTGTTCCTCCCAACAAAATGTCCCTTTCCCCCTTCCTCTCTTTTTGGTCTATAACTATCTAACTGGTTCAGTTTTTTTTTTATTTCATTTAAAAGTGCTTGAATATACAATATTACTGTCACTTATTTTTAAATACATGAAAAGGCCAAATGTTAATAAATGAGTTTCTCTTGATAACACTGAATGAATTTAATTTTATATACAATGTTTAAATGTGAAACTATGAGAAGGGGGTGGACTAATGACTCAGGCAGAAGAATATGTCCTACAGCCATGGAGCTGATCTTACACACACAACACACACACACACACACACACACACACACACACACAGCTTTGACCTCCTGCTCAGGAATAAGGACTGGAAGATCAGCTCACCTGCCATTGAAACCACCATAAGTATCTGACACTCATAGACAGGCTCCCACTCGTGCAATAAATAATCCAGCACAGACTGCAGCAGTCACCTATACCAATCCCAAAAGGTGAGCAAATCAACTAAGAAACTCTCATCTGCCTGGTCTGCTACTTAACACTGCTCCAAAACCTGGGTTCAAAGTAGATTCTGCAATCTGTACAAAGAGTACTGGACTGGAAGTCAAAGAAACTCCATTAAGCCTTAAAACAAATAAAAATGGCTAATAGCTTACTGCTACTGAGCGCTTACATTACAACATACATTCTGTCATTTAATCCTCTAACCCTGAGGCAATGAGTGTCAGTCATACTTTACAGAAGACTGAGAACCAAGACTGCCAACTAGCCTCATCTGGCCAAATGACCAGCCAGTGTCAGAACCAGACCTTTAGTAAAAATCTGTCCTTCTCCAAATTCCATACTCTTAACCATATCATGATACCAGTCTGCCCCTGCTCCATTTAATCCCTCAGAGCCCAGTACTTCTAGAAAATCATGGCAACTTTTAAACTGCAAACTTACTTGCAGTCAGTTCAACAGGTCTCCAATCAACATTTCTTTTTAATGAAATTAGAACAGAATGGACTACAATAGATTCCCCTCACCTTATCTGTGATTTCACTTTCCAGTTTCAATTATCCAGTCAACCATAATCTAAAATTAAATGGAAAATTCCAGAAAAAATTCCCTTCTGTCTGTCCAGAACATGCATCACCCCTTTGTCCAGTATGTCCAAGCCATATATCCTACCCACTAGTTAGACACCTAGTAGACATCTCAGTTACCAGATCCTCTGGTATCATAGTACTTCAGTTCAAGTGGTCTTTCTTTTACTTAATGATGGCCCCAAAGCACAAGAGTGTGATGCTGGCAATTTGGATGTGCCAAAGAGAAACCTATTATAATATGCATTTATGTATAGAAGAAGAAAAAACAACAAAAAAAAGGAGTATAGCCAGGCATGGAGATGCATGGTGATGCATGCCTGAAATCCCATCACTCAGGAGGCTGAGGTAGGAGGATCACAAATTTGAGGTCCACCTGGGTTACATAGTGAGTTCCAGCCACCTCAGGTTACAATAGCAAGACTGTGTCTCAAAAAAAGCCACAGAGTTTAATACTATTTAGTTTCAGGTATCACTGGGGGTCTTGGACCATATGTCCCAATATATCAGAATAATTTTACCTGGTAAGGCTCCTTCAACTTCAGTTATATATACATTTGTATGTGTAACAGGTTGCAGCGTAAGTAGCATCACAAAAATTTAAAAATAAAAGAACAATGGAGATGAACTAAAATTATTTCTATGGTCTTTTTACAAAAATCCAGGCACAGGCTGCATCACAATGCCACTTTCTAGTTAGGTTTACAATAAATGCCAGGTTCTCTACACCTAAAAAAAAAACACAAAACAACTTTTGATTTGCTCAAGCTTTCCAGGAACCAAAATGAAAAAGAAATAAATATTTACAAATAAAACCTAAAATTAAAACTCAACAGTTTTTACAGATTAGGAAAGAAAAAAAAAAAAACAAAGAAAAAAGCATGACTTTAGAAATGCTCTGTTTTGTTTTGAAATCCACAGGGATTCATGGCAAGAACAGGCAGAACTGCCCAGCACTGTACACATGGACCAATTATCACAAAGAAATCCCCTCGTATTATTAATGTATGCTAATTCAAAAATTAAATTTAATTTAAAGAAAAGAAACTTCTATGCAAGACCATCCCAGCTCATAGCCAACAGATACTTAAAAAGCAGTACTTCAAAGTAGCAGACTCAGAGATAGATCTAGAGTCCCAGCAATAGTGAAAATTCAGCTCCATCATTTGGTACAAAAAAGACCTCAACTTCATATAATAATAGTAAGATCCAAGTCCCCCAAACTTCATTCAGTCATGATGCATAGTTTTCCTTGCCCATTGACACTTCTGCTTCAAGACTGTTCCTGGGGCACTAAAACTTTTAGGGGAAAAAAACTCCAAAAACAGAAACTATTTTACTATGTTGTTTAGGAATGCATAGTAAGGTTATAACTTATAAAGAGAACTGATGTGAATGTTGTCTCTTAAGTCAGGATGTGGTGACCACTCGAGGCATGGTAGACAGGTATGAATAAGAAGTGTACAGATGTTGACAAGGTTCTATTTCTTGACATGGATGGGGATCACACAAATGTTCAGTTTACAATCCCTTAAGCACTATTTTATGTCTTAAAGTATTTCTCATGTTCTTATATTTCACATTTTAAATACATTTCTAACTGTTGGGATCACCAACCTTGGGGCTCCTTAAATATACTTTCCCCTAGCTAATTCAACCCCCTTCCCTAGTCTTAGGACAACTCCCCAAATAAGGGAGGGCATCATGTCTATGTGTCCTATAAGACAGAAAGGCAAAAACCATGTCTCAAAGAAGAGTAGCAGAGAAAAATAAAACCTAAAGATTGCCTGTAATTCAGGCAGGAGGATCTCAAGTTGGTAGCCAGCCTGGGCTACATAATGAGACCTTGTCTCAAAAAAACCAAGGGCTGAGGGTGTAGCTCAGTGATAAATTGCTTACTACCGTTCACAAGGTCCTGAGTTCAAACCTCATCACCATGAAAAAACTCTAATTCAAATGTCTACAAATAGTAGGCTGATTAAATAAATCATGGCAAATCCACATATCAAAACACTCATGGCCTTGTAATTAATAAGATTTTTTAAAAGTACACTGTATTTCTGTGATTTATCTCTAATGTACACTGAGTAGAAAAACAGCTAGATACAAAGGACCATTTATGAAAAAAAAATAGATGTGTGTATATGTGTGTGTGTTTGTGTGTATCACATTATGATAAACAGCCCAGAAAAGAAACATAACAAATTAGTAATACTAGTTGCTTCAGAGTCAAGACTGAAAGAGACACAGACAAATAAACTTTGTAAATTCTTCCTCCTTTTGAATTTTAAGCCATGCACATGTATTTCTTAAAAATGCGTAAAATTTCACTTAAAAATACACATAAAAGTATTGCAACATAAATGAAAAGACAATAAAACTGTTTTCATTAAACAGCCTAAGATAGATTTTTGTAGAACTATGCAGCCAGTAAAACTTTTTTAAAGGCTGGAGGTGTGGCTCAAGCATGCCTGCCTAGCAAACATGAAGCCCTGAGTTCAAATCCCAATACTGTACCAGACTATTGTCACACACCTATAAGCCTGTATTCTCAGCACTTGAGAGGCAAAGGCAAGAGGATCACCAGTTGGACACCAGCCTAGGCTACATAGTGAGACCCTAAACAAAGTTTTAAAAAGAATTATGTAATTACATAAGGAAATGCTCATACAGTATTGGAGAAAAGTTAAAAAGTGCTATATGTAATGTGACTTCAATTTCATTAAAGAGTAACTGGAAGACAGTAATTGTAAACTTGCAAAATTAGGAATCAATTATTTCCCTCAACAAATCCAAAAGGCAGGTCTAAGGAAAGAGTTCAAGTGGTAGACAATCTGCCTAGCAAGTTTGAACTAAGTTCAAACCCCTGTGTAGTAACAATAAAACAAAAAAATCCAAAAGCAGAAATTACAAACACATACCCAATTATTTGGATAAATTAAAAGATATCAACTCACTTGGAAATAATGTATGCTTTACACATTTATATACATATATAATTGTATAAAATGTAATTTTAAATTATATTTTAATGTAAAGAAACACATAGCATCTTTCCTAAATTGTGAGCAGGTCAAGGGAAAACTACAGAACATGATAAAATATCTTCAACAGAAATAACAGAAATACAAATTTCACCAAAATACATGGAAGTCTACCAAAGAAAAAGTTACCACTCTAAAAAAATCTTACTAACCAAGAAAAGGAAAAATAGCAAAATCAACTGAGTGTTCAGAATAATAAGCCAAAAAGTAAATGAAAATAATTCCAGAAGAAGAGAAAATCAAAAGTACAGTTTAAAAAAATCAGGGTAACTCAATGGGAAAACACAACTCTAGTCTAAGGCCTTATTTATTTAAGAAAGAAAAGAAAACGTGAAAGAAAAGGAAATAAAATCAGAAAAGAAAACATTAATTAATTTAAAAAATTAGAGCTTTTTTGGTAAACTATTCTCCATTATTTACTAATACATT